GCTGCTCACAGCCCACCCAGGGCTACCTGTGCCTGCTCCAGACAGCCCTGCTGGCTGTGAGCAGCTGCAGCAGGGAGCACTGGCCATGAGCCCAGGGAAAAGCAGCCCCTCTCCTGCCCCATGGCCACCACTCCCTGCTGCAGCGGCTTGCAGCCCATGCAAGGCTGTCTGGAGCAAACACAGGCAGCCCCAGGTAGGCTGTGAGCAGCTGCAGCGTGGGGCACCAGCTGGGCTGCTTCCCCACTCTGTACTCAGCACCACCTTGTAGCACAGGGCCCAGGCTGGCAGTGGGGCTGGGTTATCTCCAGGCTCACCCACCAGGGCTGCACATGGTGACAACAGCTGCAGTCTCCCTGCTTGCTGAGCCAGGCAGTGTTTGCCACCACCGCCTCTGGGCTGCCCAGCATGCACTCTGGGCAGGCAGCAGCAGCAGCCAACACTGCCTGGCGTGGCAAGTGGGGGTGGGGGGCCCCACAGCTGCTGCTGCTGTGCACAGCCCCAGTGGGCGAGCCCGGAGCCAGCAGGACCCAGGCTGGTAGTAGGGTTGAGTTGCAAGCTGGTGCTGAGCTGCAGGAAAAGAGCGGCCACTCATCCGCCCCATGCTGTAGCTACTTGCAGCCCATGTGGGGCTGCCCATGCCTGCTCCAGACAGACCCACACAGGCTGCAAGCAGCTGCAGCAGGGGGTGCCAGCCACAGGGCAGGCAAGGGACCTTTTTTTTTTTTAAAAATGCGCTCAGCACTGGCTTCTTCCCTGCTGGCATGCAGGGGGTCAGCCCTGTGCACTGCTCCCAACCTGTACCACAGGGCTGGGGGGGCACTGGGAGTGAGTGGGCACAGAAGCATGGGGCCTGCACCAGTGTCTCAGGGCCAGTGCCAGCAGGGCCCAGAGTGGGGTGACAGGAGCAGGGTTCCAGCCAGCAAGGGCTCTGTGGAGCTGGGCCAGCTCCCCTCTCCCCCTGCTGGTGCAGCCCAGCCCAGCTCCATAGACCCCTGCCAGCCTGTGCCCTGCTTTGGGCCCCACTGGGGCTGGTCCTGGGACATGGGACCAAGGTCCCAATGTCTCAGGGCCAGAGACATTGGGACATTGGTCCCAGGGCAGCCCTCAAGGGGCAGGGCAAAACTGGCTAAGCAGCCCCCCATCCAAAATAATTGCCCACCCCTGCATGAGAGGGGGAAAGGGCAAGGTTAGTAGCCAACTCATGATAGACACACCAGGAGAAAGCAAGGAAGATCAAAGCAGATGCAGCCATCAGCCACAACAGACACCCAGAGAAAGTTTGTGCTCTGGGCACCTGAAGAAAGGAAGATAAGATTCAGGGGACAACTGATGGAGGATCTCCAGTGCGGGGACTCCAAGTCAAAAATAGGACCATGGAAGACCTGGGAAACCATGAACCTGTGTTTGGCTGGTGAGAAGTGGGGACACTTGCCTAGGATTTCAGAGGCAGCAAAGACCACTGAAGATGGGCTTAGGAGAATCAGAAAGAAGAAATGAGGAAGGGGATTAGAAGCATGAACTGGTGCGAGGCAATGCCAGTAGCTTAAGGGACTGGTGAAGAAAGAGTGTCTGGGTAGAGGGTTTGCCAACACAGTTCATTATCTTCTATAGACTTTGCACAATAAGTGAAACAATTCAGTTAAAAAGCATACCTGGGTGGCCCATGAGCGAATGCCTCTTTAGGGAATAATTCTTCTTCCTTCTCCTAGCTCAAGTTGTGACAGGCAAGCTCTGAGTGAGGCTAGGGAGCCTTATCATGCCTTCCACAATGGAAGATGATAGTGACTGAAGGAGTTGGAGTGTTGTGACAGAAGAGACAGAAAGCTTAATTAGGAAGGGAGCAATTTAAATTATAATTTAATCTATTTATTTGTAAATAGATTAAAATTTACCTTACCATTTAGCAATGCCTAAAGGACACTTGGAGAAAGATTTAAGATTCAACAAATTGCTTTTCTGAACAAGGTACCTGAACTCAGCAAATGGAACGGAGCTCCCTGAAGCCTTTCAGCAAATTGAGGTGGTAGGAGGAAACGAGAGAAGAAGGAAGTAGAAGAGGGAGAAGAGGCAAAAGGTAAAGAAAGAAGAGTCAAGAGGTAGAAATATGCCAGTATTTTGGAAAACAGAAAAACATTTTTGTTCCATCTTTCTGACAAAGGTCTGGACACTGAGTGCTTGCTTTTTTTTAAAAAAGCAAAATAAAGGCCCATCCCCTCTACATGTATTAAAATGATTAACTGAGTAATTGCACAATTTAGATTGTTACTTTGCATGTATAGACAATCACACCATAAACAAGTCCATCCAACTATAGTGTTAGAGGTGGAAAATGTGTAATAACTTTATAGCTGGTTTCTATCCAGCTTTTATTTGCATGTGTAGCAAGGTATTTGCTTGCAGCTGGGAGCCCTGTCTGATGCTGGATCCCCCAATCACAGCTCCAGCCACATGCAACATGGCAAGGGATGCAGTTATATGGATCATGAATCAGATCCTATGATGCTTTACCAGAACATCTAGAGGGGCCCTAACAGACACAGGTATGAAAAACTGCTCTAGGAGACCCAGGAGGCTGAGGGTCCAGCAATCAGAAATACCCAGGAAACACATTAAGTGCCTTCAGGACAACAGTTAGCAATCAAGACATTTTTCATATAGGGAAAAAAAAAAAAAAAAAAAAAAAAA